TGGCTTCAACACACTCTTACAGTTTTATTTGGTACCGCCTCCTCCCTATTTATGCTCCAACTGCATAAATGATTTTTAGATTTCTCAGAATTCCTTTTCTTCACGTTCCCTACTTTCCAGTAAACTTCATTTCACCCTTTAAGACTCAATTCAAATGTCACCTCTTTGTAAAGTCTTCTATCCTTATCCACAACCCAGAAAGATTCTCGGCCCAACTTTAATGACTTGTTTACACATCTGTCTCTCCCACTGGACTGTAATCTTTGAGGGCAAGGATCATGTTTCATTTATCTTTATATCCTCAGCACCCAGCACAGTAACCAGCACATGGTAGGGGCTCAACAGATATTTGTTGCACATACAGGAAATCCTTCACTAGATTATAAATAATTCGAAACAAGGATAATCTGATTCACCAGTGTAGCCCACACTACTTAAAAGAGTCTATTAATGTTTTAAATCCTTCTTGGAATAAGTTGGGGCATAAATAAATTAAGTTATGCTTCACATAGAAGACAGCTGCTTTTAATAGGAGTCAACTCCTTCAAATGTAATTCAGCACCCACTTCCCCTGACTTTGTATAAGCTTTGCAGAAAGCTCAGCACCAAACCTTCTTGCTTCCTTCCCCTTACTAGGCAACATCCAAACACATCTTTTAACAGCAAAGACAATAGTTCTACCTCTCAACCAATTCTCAGAGACCCTCAGTACCTTCTCAATACACACCCCACCTCAAGACATCTGGAAAACATGCTATACTTAAATACTATCTGTTCCACAAAAGACCCCTTAACCATCCATCCTCCTATCCAAAGTGGAACTGTTATTCCCTCTAAATATAGGAGCACTATATAAACATCAAAGTTTTGTGAATAGCCTTCCACTTTTTAAATGCAACTATGTTCCTTTTTTTTTTTTTTTTGCATAAATGGGGCCTCATTCTGCATTGTTTAGTAACTTTTTCACTTATCTAGATTTCTAAACTATCAGACACTAGTGCCCCTTAGTGTCTTGGCAACTTTCATAGCACTCCTTAGGCGAAGAGATCCACTTATTAAGCACACAGCTCCAAATAACTTAATATTTATGTCCTAGCAACTAAATAACCATTGAAAAAATAATACACATAAATTGAGGAAAATATTTCAATATATTAAAATAAAAACATTTTTATTTCCCAAATAACCACAGTTATATGACACCTGCCAGGCACTGCACAACTTCTCAAATCTTGGAATTGGACAGCACCACCCTTATTTCTTGCTCTACAATGACTTTTGCTCAGCATTCAGCAATTGCTAAAAACTGAGCGGCACAAAGAGATGTCATTGGAAGGGATTTGGCGCCATCTAATGTTGAAAGAGAACTATCTGGAACTAGTAGTTCCCAGGACATCAGACAAATGTAGCTGCTTCTGTGCTTCTCTTGAAAATTTAAAATCTCTCCCTGCACCCCTATGAGTTTGCTGCAGTGCCTCAGCAATTTGGGAGGAACAGGGAATTGACCGATTAGGAAGGTCTTCTTCTATTGTAAGAATGGACCTTGACTCATTCAAAAGGATTATTAGTAAATCAATTTAGGCAATTTGTAACTTCGAACAATGTCATTTGCAAACAATGCTGCAATAAAAATCCTTCTACATGTATCTTTGTGTACTTGTCCAATTATTTTATTCACTCACTTATTCAACAAACTTTTTAATTACATACCTAGTATGTGCCAGGCATTACTTGAGATATTGAGGGAAGAAAGAGTGAATACAAAGTCCTAATGAAATTTACATTTTATTGAGGGGGCAAAAAACAGAAAAACGAATCCTCTCAGGTTTATGAAGTAAGATAAAGTCAAGACTAGTGGTTAAAGAATGCAGGGGGATGCCATTTAAATAGGGTGGTCAGGGGAGAGCTCCAAATGATATAACATCTGAGCAGGGAACATACTGACAGAAAAGGACAGGCTGAGGAAGTCTGGGCAATGTTCTGAGCACCAGGAACCGTGAATAATAAAGTCCTTGAGGTAAGAATGAGCTTGCAGTGTTGGAAGAACAAACAAGTCAGTGTAGTTAAAGACGAGCAAAGAGGTGATTGGTGGTAATGAGATGGTGAGGCAAGCAGGAGCCAGATAATATAGGACCTAATAGGTCACAGTAAGGGTTTTGGATCTTTTGAAAATGGTATTATGAAGGAAAGAGATGATGAAAAAAATCTCTGTAGCTGCTCTGCAAACTGTAGGAGGAACAAATGGGGCTAAGGCTAATGCAGTACTCTATGAGAAAGAAGATGGTGGAATGGACCACGGTGATTGAAAATAGATAGTACAAATGGCTGAATTCTAGACATATTTTGAAAAGCAAAACTGACAAACTGGCAGATGTACTGAGTGGAGGTTGGGAGAAAGAGAGGAATCAAAGATGGCTTTTAGGTTTTTTGGCCTGAGCAACTGGATGAATGATGGAGCCATTGCCTGCTTGGTGAACTAGGCAAGACTAGGGGAGAGGCATGGTGAAGGGGAGAAATGAGTTTTTTATTTGAGGATAAATTTTTAGAAGTGGTGGTGCGGCATCAAGGAATATCCGTATTAAACTATTCATAAAATTGTCAAACTGTCCTCCAAAAAAGTTATATAAATTTATCCTACCAACAATGTCTAAACATGCCTATTTCCTATTATTTTGACAGTAGGGAAAAAAATTTAAGTTGTTTTTACTAGTAAACTCAATATTGTTACTGGCTATTTTTGTACTAATTCTGTGAACTGCCTATTCATATCTTTTATGCAGTTGTCTAGTATAGATGTGTGCTTTCTTTACTGATTTGTATTCCTTGTATATTAAGAAGCCTAATCTTGTCTGTCACCTTGAATAGTTTTCCAATGTTTTTAGCTATCCATGGTGTCTCTGATAAACAGAAGTGAAATGTGCCCTGTTCTTTCTTATATGTAAAATGCTTAGCTCAGTGCCTATCACATAATAGACACTTAATAAAACTTACTCATAATTAATTCATTACTATTAAGAGTCTCAGCCCCCAAAAGCCTCCTATATTTTTTGAGTGCATTAGTTTTGTTTTTTAGATTTAAATCTTAACTCCATCTGGAGTTAATTCTGTGGTATGGGTTTGATTTGAGTTCAGGAGGTTCTGACTCCAGATACAAATTTCACACAACTGAGCCTTCTCCACCAACAAACTCTTCTCCATCCACTAACAGCCATTTAACTCCATTCTCTCCAGCCAACTAACCCTCCGGTTCACTCCACAAAAGGAGTCCAAGTCACCAACAGCTCTCCTCCAAAACTACATTCCTCCCTGGTTTCTCCTGCTTCCATGCTTAGACCTACCCCCAAATCGGTTCTTCACTGAGCAAACAAAGTACAGTTGTTTTTTTAATGTAAAATTGATGTCACTCTTCTTATAATTCTCCAATAACCTCCTATTGAAAATAAATTTAGAATCTTTACCATGATTTACAATATCCCATCTGGCCTACGCCACCTCATGCTTCTCCAGCCCATTTCGATAATATTCTCCTCACCCACTAAACCTCAGTCACAATGGTCTTCTTTCAGCCCCTGGGACACAACAAATTCCTTCCTTCCTCAGGCCCTCTGCACTTGCTGTTTCCCCTGACAAGCTCCTGTCCTAGAAACTATGGCCTAGATGTGTGGCTGCTTCTCATCATTCAGGTAATGTCATCTCCTCAGACAGGCCTTCACAGACCCTGACACCACCCCATCTAAAGTAAAGTAGCCTCACCTCAGTGACTATCGCATTACACCGTTTCCCTTTATTCAAGGCGCTTGCCATAACTGAATTATCTTGCTCGTTCATTTATTCGTTTGTTTTTTGGGTGTTTCTCCTGCTTCTTCCCACAGAAAGTGCTCTAAAAGGCAGGGCCCTTGTCTTTTTTACCTCTGCATCCCCAGCGTCTAGGGTCTATTACATAGTAGGTGCTCACAGAATAGTTGTAGAACAGGGAAGGAAAAAATCTGGGGCTCGACTTCTTATCCAAGCTTGCAAAGACCCCCTAGGATTCGTCTGATCTCATTTAACGTCGGTTATCTTTGTGGTGTGGAGCCAGTCACCCTTCTCTCCCTCCTCTCCAGCCCCTCCAGCTACCAGGCTCCCAATCCAGACACAGGGCTCAGCTTGCTCACACACTAACAAAATTTAACTCTGCACCCCGCACTGCCTTGGCGCTGGTAACCCATCCTTCCTGCTTGTCATGTTACGCAGTGAGAAGCGCCAAGTTTCCGCAGCCGCTGTCAAGCTCCGCCCGCGGCGCGGGAGGGAGGAGGGCGAGTGCAAAGAGGCTTACCAGTTCATCCGGACTGAGGACTCCGAACTGCACTCTCTTGATGGTGCGCAGCGGGCATGCGCTGTCCCCGGAGGGGGTGCCACCCCCGTGCATCGCGGAGGCAAGCGCGCTGCGCAGGCGCAAACCTCACTACAAAAAGCCTGCGCCGCCTCTGCCTAGGTGCTCAGACCCTGTCGGGGCGGCCACCGAGAAGGACCTCCCCAAGTCGGGAGGAAAAGACCAGAGAAGGAAGAGGTGGGGGAGGGAAGAAGGCGGGGAAACAAGAAGGAGCGAAAGGAGTTTTCCTCCCCCTTTCCGGAGATTTTTCGTCTCTCAAAAAAGGAAAAAAAAGAAGAGGGGGAAGGAAAAGGTTGGGGGAGGGAGAAGAAAAAGGGTAACGAATAAATAAGTAACCGGGCTCCTGAACGGCAGAGGTTACGGCAGTTTGTCTCTCCCCCTTCCGGGAGCCGCCTTCTTCTCCAACCGTCCCGGCCGCGCTCTCAGCGCTTCTGAGGAGCGAACTGGCCGAATGGCACCCTTTATAGATTCGCCCCTGCATCCCCGCCCCTTCCTTTCCCGCCCTCCCTTGCGCTACGGGGCCGCAAGCGCCGGCCTGCACGGGGCGCGCGCTCGAGTCGTTGCTCCTCCCTTCCCCCCACCTCCCCGGTTGAGCGACCATTTTAAATAACCAGGGGTAGGGGCACTTTTATCCCGCCACCTCCCCTTATTACTTACTCCCGCACTGAGGTTTAAGGTTTGAAGGATCAAGGATAAATATAGGCCGCTTTTATTCTAGTGTGGAGTGTGTTTCCTTCAGGAAAAGTCTGCCATTAATACCTCCCCCACGCTGGAAAATGGTTTGTCCTGCTAATTGGTAATAAAGGAGGCGGGGCCGGCAGGGTCCTCCCAAGTGGGTTCCCGGACGGGGGAGTGCTGGGGCCGTCTTTGGTCATGAATATGCAGTAACCGCGCTGAATATGCATGAACATATCAAGATGGCGAGGCTTGTTGCTTGTCCGGAAGTAGCTGTTATTTATTGAGCGGCCTTCTGGGACGGGTGGGCATCTCCTGGTCTCTAATTGAGCGCTGTATGGAACTCTGGTCCTGGATCCCTAGCCTGATCCGCTCGAAAAGACCTCAGCTGAAAGGCCTGCTCCGGAAGGAGGCTGGCCGCCGTTCGGGAGAGCGATCACGGGACCGTGACAATCCAGGAAAAGCAGATTAGCCGTGGGGTGGAACACAAGCCCTGGGAGATTCAGGGTCAAGGCATGTGAACGTCAGGAAATCCTCCCCCTTCTAGACTATTTCAAAACTAAGATTGGGAGGGGCGGGCATTCCAAATTATTTTCCAATAAGAGCCGGGTAGGACTTCCACTATCCTTCCAAAGCAGAGATGACACCAACTGCGCAGCCACATTCAGAGTGATCCTTGTTTTGATGTCAATGTCACGTCACCACCCAAGTTGAGGAGGGGTCATAAGCATCGAGAAGGGAAATCTCACTCAAGGAAAAAAAAAGGAGACTCCCTTCTTCCAGCGTAGCTGCTTGCTCTGTTTGCCTGAAAGCCCCAAACACTCCAGCCCCAAAACTCTTCTCTGCTGCTGAGGGAAAAATCCCCCTATGGCTCATGGTCTGCCTGCCTCAGCCCCTTTGATCTCAGACTTTCCCCTTAGTTGTGCCCTGATCCCCAAGCCCCAGCCTAGATTCCACATCTCTTGGTCCCCAGGCTTGTTCCAGGTCTTCCAGCCAATCCCTCTCCACCAAGTCCCCAAGTTACCATTGACTCCAAGGAGTGTCCCTCTCCCACACCAGTTCTTTTCCAGTCACTTATTTTCCCATGTTTGTATTCCAGTCTCTCCTATTTACCCCTGCCCCCCTCCCCAATCCCCAGCCTCTCAAGCCGATCTCACTCCTCTACCTGCCCTTCCCTCTCACAGCTGAGGTTCTGGGCAGTGATGATGGCAATACTGCCCAATACGACCCCCGCCCCCATGATGTCAGAAGGTGCCACGGTCTCATAGAGCACATAATACTGCAGCATCAGGGCCACCACCACCTCAGAGTGCAGGACAGCACACACCAGGGCAGGGTGGGCCTTGGTGACCGCATAACTCACACACACAAAGGAGACCAGGGCGAGGATCCCCACTGCCCCCACACAGCTCCAACTCAGAGGATCATTGGGCAGCACAGGGGTCTGCAGCAGAAAGAGGCCTGGTACGGAACCCACGAGCCCCACCAAGCCAAACAGGAAAGCCACTGTCGGTAGGCATGAGGGGAAGTCCAGGGAGCGATATACCAGAAGCCCCAGAGACAGTGCCAGGCCGCCCAGGAAAGCGAGCACATAGCCCAGGGCGGTGTAGAGACCTGTGGTCCCCTCCTGCAGTGTCCCTAGTCCAGGTCCCACAATGATGATTAGTCCTAGGGTGCTGCCCAACAGGCCACACCAGTCGTAGCCACTGAGACCCTGGCTCTCGAGACAGAGGGCAAGGAGAGCAGAGCAGACAGTGGAAGAACCTTTGCGGACGGTCGCAGCGTTGCCAGCGGGCACCACCTGAACTGCACTGTAGGCGCATCCAATGCTGAGGACGTTGAGCAGAGCGTGGAGGCAGGCCCGGCCCCGTACATCAGGAGGTCCCAACAGTGGGTCACCACGCAGTTTAAGTAGCAGGGCAATGGGGAGGTGGAAGAGGCATCGACAGATGAGCAGCTCCAGTGAGGGTAAGTGAGAAGTCTGGTAAGCCATACGGGAGAAGGGGCCCACGAAGCCAGCGGGCAGGCCCCCACCCAGCAGGGCCACGAGCAGACCCTTGGTGGCATCAGAGGGCCGGCAGCGCTGGTGCGAGGGGAGGCTGGGCGGAGTAGAGGATGGCGATGGCTGAGTGAAGTCGGGCAGGTTGAAGTAGGGGTGACTGCCAGCCTGTTAGGGAGAAAGGAGCTTGGGCATTAGGGCAACCATAGCCCAGGGGATCTGGGGCAGGGAAAATGCCAGGCCGGGACCCTGTGGCACAGTAGAGGGTTAGGCTGTCTTGCTGAGGAACTCTTGGGAGCTAGAAAGGTCCTGAAAGATGGATGAGGTAGTACAGTGTGGGCCTTGAGCCTCTAAAGCAGGAAGCAGGGAGTGAGCAGTCCTGGAGCATCAAGTTTCTCTGGGTAAGTTGTTCCTGGGAGGAGAAAAAAAGGACCCAGGGATGCTCTGTTGGTTTGAAAAAGGGGAGGTGGCCTCAGATGCTCTGTATTTATGTGATGTCACAGGTTCCAGGGACATCTGGGTACATCATTGTGAATTTCATTTCTGGGTATCTCTAGGACAGCTGGGAAGTTTTAGGGGAGGAGGAGAAAGGGAGCAGCCAGGAGTTACAGGGAGGGGGGCTATGACTTGGCTCTCACACTCACCATCTTTCCTTGGACTTCCTCCTCTCCTCCTGGCTCAGGGGGCCTGGACCCTTCAGAGCTCCAGCCATTGTGACCTGGTTGGAGTAGGGGTGGGGTTCTTCCCTGGAACTTTCCTGAAGTGGGGGTGGGAGGTTCTTCCCTGGAACCTCCCTGAGGTGGGGGTGGGCCTATTTTCTCATTGTTTCCAACTCTGCTTGCTTTATATCTTATGCCTCCCTGACTCCAAAGTTTGTATGATTTTTTTTCTCTTTACCGCTAGTTCTGTGATGAGACTTCTTTGGCTTTAAATTATGTCTCGCCTTGTTTCAGAAAGATTTTTCAGAAAGGAGCTCTGAGGGCTGGCTCTTCTTTCTCCTGAGTTTTCAATTTTTGAACACCAGGGAGGAGTCCCTCTGGAGTTTCAGGAATGTTTCTTCTGTGTGTGCTTCCACCTGGTGTTTCGTTGGTGCTGTCCCAGGAGGCCCACACCAAGGCCTCTGCATTTAAGGACAAGTATATAGATGTGGATATTTTCTTCGGTGGGGACAAAATACCAAGCTGCTTGTTCATCTGCACTGGTAGTCATTTGTGTGCCTGTTCTGTAGGGTTGGGGCCTTCCTGGCCAGCGGCCTGGTGGGGTTCCCTGTGCATTTTCGGGGAGGGTTGTGTGTGTCCAGGGTTAGCCCTGTGAATGTGCTGAGCCTGGCTCTGCGGGTTCCTCTAGACTTAATTGTAAGCCTGCCATGTTGTGGGTCTGTGCCTTGAGAGGATGTGCCTGCTCTAGGCGGTGTGCACCGCAGAGTGAAGGGCATGAGTTGCGGGGCTGGGGGGAGAGGGGGGGCGTCTCATCCTAGGGAGTGGGTGGTCGTGCGATTCTGAGGGATTGCAACCAGGCCCGTACCCCGCTCGGTGCCCACCCGTCCCGCAGCCCTGCGCGGCTCTGTTCTCCCAGGATCGGTTTGGGCGAAGGCCATCGGGCGCTATCGCCCCAAACCCGAACCCTGAGCCTTGTGTCGGTGTCGCCTGCGCTACGCCGGCCTCCTCTCGGCTGTGGCGGCGCTGGGG